ACTGGGCGCTGTTTCCATCGACTCAGCCCTGGTGGAATGTTTCGGATCTGCTGTGCGGAAAGATGAAGTAATCAACGCCGTTTCATTTCCACAACCTTTGTCAGTCGCGTGTTTCCGCGGACCTCAATTAACAATCAAGAGGCGCAGGCTGCAGTTCTGACGCCGCTAAGCGCTTTGAGGCTCTCGCGTCATGGCACTTACACCGACAGCTCGGCACTGGCCCTGCAGCTCTCGTGCGTCTTGGCTGCCAAAGATGCTACCTCGTATTGTCTATCGCGGTTTTAGGTCCTCACCGCGTCCTTCCTGTTTTCTGGAAGCAACCAAGGCCTTCTCGTATTCAGATGGAGGGCTATTGGCGATACGGAGCCGCAATGTGCATTGCAGATACCCGCCACTCGTAGCCGCACCCTCTTATTCTGCGCAGCGGCCTTCAGACGAATGAAAGGCTACAGCCCACCGTACCGTCGACGACTGTTATTAGATCATTTGGGCTTGGGGCATTCTGGGTCAAGGATGCATGGGACGTTCCGTCAAGTGGGGGCTACAGACAGGAATCAAGGATGGAAGCTCGAGCGAGAGACCAGGGAGCTTGCTTGGCCAGCAAATGACAGCGTTACCCGGCGTTCTGGTTGGGTTCTCTTTGAAATTGGCGACATACGTAAGAGCACATCACCTGGTGTCACCCGCACTGAGCCAGCCCCTTCAGCCTCCTCCTTTCCACCCCTAGCTCGGCTCTTGTTTGTTTTTAGTACTTTGGTCTGCCGCCCACTTGGATCAGGCCGTTGGGAAAGCAATAAGACAGCCGGATCAAGTGACGGAAGAGGAAAATTCGACGGAAGGGGTAAGTCGAGCCCACCACGCTTCGCTAAACCTGGGCGATGCATTGCAGCGGCAACGCCGTAGAAGCAGCGTTATTAATGAGGGGAGGGGAGTGTGATATTGGCATCTGAGATGTGACTGGTTTGATTGATGGATTGATGGCTGGTTCATGCGGAGGGCGGAGGGGAGAGGATGCACCTCCATCACCCGCCGTTGCATCGAATCCCACCGCCCAAACATGTCACGGCGATTCCGGACGTGCACCCATGCCATGGGAGGCTCGCCGAGGACGACACGAGCCCTGCTCGCTTGTTTTCCGTGCCTTTCTCCCTGCCAGCTGGGTCTTTTTATAGAGGAGACGCTCGCATTAGGACTAGACTCCGATCCTTCTCTTCTCCCATTAGCATCCGCACATAACGATTGATAAATGCCAACATCATCAGATGATAGATCGGTCAAAGCGGATCACTGGCCTGCGAGTCTGGGTTCACCAGCCGATCGCCCCCTGCCCTGCCCGCCGGTACCTTACGTGCTACCCTACCCACGCCTGTCTCCCGGCACTCCGAGCAAAAGGCGGAGGGCCACTTCTGGTCTCGCTCTGTGCCAGAGGCGAAGACCCTAAGCCCTACTGCATTCGAGCTTGCCGCGGAGCAGAGTGGGCATTTACCCCCTACCCAGGCTGCCAGGTGACTATAAGGCGGCCGCTGTACACGCCACGGTCCGGGATGGGCGGAGAAGCACAGAATAGGGAAAAGAGTTTGATGCTGCGCGTCTTGAGCATCTAGTGACTTGCTTGGGAAATGTCGCCGCCTTTCTTACGCCGTGGCAGACGCCGAGATGGCACCAAGAAGCCGAGACTGGGGCGAGAAGCGAGCGAATCCAACGTCATCGTGCGCCCGAGACTGCCCATCACCCGACGAATTATTTCTAACAATGACAAACACCCCTCAAAGACGCTTTAGTGATACAGTCATCAAGCTACTGTAGCAAATACTACCGGCAAGTGATTGAGACAACTGCAACGGCATCTGATGCAATGCAGCGCCTCCCATATCCCGGTCCGCTCCTAGTCCCAAATCGCTCATTTTACCGAGCATTGCATGATATGACATGGTACAATACCTCTGCTTCATCTTCGTGATAAGGCACAGCTGTTGCAAATGTGATATCTCAGTTGAGAGATGCCGGGAGTCCGGAGAGAAGAACACAGAAGGTCCTGATAACAAATCCCTTAGGTGGCAGATCTCCTGGCGATGCTACAATACAGTTGCATCGAATGCGTACCGACACCGCAGGCTCCGGGTGCTCAGACGACATAAAACAGCTGTCAACGGCACCTGCAGAAAGTCCTGATCCCGTCCCGGCACTTCATCAAGCACTCTCGGCCTGAGTTTCAAGCCCTGCCTCCCCTTACACTAAGCCCTAATCCTCCCGACTCACACACTCCCCTCTAAGCCACGAGCCCGTTTCATACCTCCAAGATGGGTAGCTCGCCATTGAGTAATCCCGCCGCCCCTGGCCTGCCGTACTACACTCCAGCCCAAAACCCCCCGGCTGGCAGTGCGCTGGACCCGTCGTCAGCACCCACTCTCTTCCAGCCCCTGCAGATCCGGGGCACGACACTGCACAACCGCTTCGTCGTCTCGCCCATGTGCCAGTACAGCGCCCAGGACGGCATCCTCTCTGACTACCATCTCGTCCACCTCGGCCAGTTCGCCAAGGCCGGCGCCGCCCTCACCATCGTCGAGGCCACTGCCGTCGAGGCTCGTGGACGCATCAGCCCTCACGACTCTGGGCTGTGGTCCGACGAGCACGTCGCCCCCTTGAAGCGCATCGTCGAGTTCATACACAGCCAAGGGACCAAGGCGGGCATCCAGCTGAGCCACGCCGGTCGAAAGGCCAGCACTCTGGCGCCGTGGATCAGCGAGGGACATGGCAGAGCCCTCGCCACGAGCGAGTTTGGGGGATGGCCGGATGACACCGTCAGCTCGAGCGCGATCCCGTTCGCGCCCAACTACGCTACACCTCGAGAGCTCTCCGTGGCAGAGATACAGAGTGTGGTCCAAGCATTCGCTGATGCCGCCAGGAGGGCCGTTACAGCTGGGTTTGATACAATCGAGCTTCACGCTGCGCACGGCTATCTCCTGAACCAGTTTCTTTCTCCCCTTTCCAACGTATGTGATTACATCTTCAAATTAGGCTCCAGCATATCCCGATGCATACATATCCCTCGCCTGATGGCACACCCCCTTTGCTGACCCGATTCCCAGACACGAACAGACGATTATGGTGGCAACTTCGATAACCGCACCCGCCTGCTACGAGAAGTAATCTCCGCCATTCGCGCCGTAATCCCCGAATCAATGCCCCTCTGGGTACGTATATCCGCCACAGAATGGATGGAATGGGACGGGAAGCCGACCTGGGACATCGAGGAGAGCATCCGCCTCGCCCGCATCCTCCCCAGCCTAGGCGTCGACCTCCTCGACGTGAGCAGCGGCGGCAACAACTCGGGCCAGAAGATTGAGATCTCCAAGTACTACCAGGCAAACCTGGCGGGCAAGATCCGCAAGATCGTCCAGGACGAAGGCCTCAAGCTGCTTATTGGCGCCGTAGGGTTCATCAGCGAGGCGGAGATGGCTCGAGACCTGTGCCAGGAAGGGAGTGACAAGGCCGTTGGGTCCGAGGAGAAGGGGGTTCCCAAGGCAGACGTGGTTATCATTGCTCGGGAGTTTCTCCGTGATCCTCACTTTGTGTTGCACTCGGCGCAGGAGCTGCATGTGCCAGTGAAGTGGCCAAATCAGTATCACAGGGCACCCCGCCGAACCCACTAGATGAAGTTGCTTTGTGGTGTACAAGTTGGGTGATCTTACGGGAGATGAGCCCCTTTTTGACACATTCTATGGTCCTACGATATCCTTTCGTTTTGGAGTCGACTCCCGGGCATATACTTTGTCAATTTATCTCCATAGCTCCCAGCCTGTCTACTTGAACATAAAGCTGCCAGTTTGGTGCTTCAATGAAGACTTTTAGATCCCCAAACCATGCTCTGTTCGTCAATCTTGATACTTAGCTACCTTGACATATCCAAATCAGTCATCTTGAAATAGCCATCTTGAATATCCAACGTCACCCACAGCGGTCAGAGCTTCTTTGCGTACACCCATCACTGAAGTGGAGAGAAGAGTAGAGCTACCCCCAGCCTCAGCCCCTGCACCAACGCCTGCCTAGCACAGCTTTTAGCCCATGCTAATGATCAGCCACGCTAAAGTGACAGACCGACACGCCAGGCGGCCGCCGCTAATTCAGGGGCGTTTCCTTTGCTAGGTGACGAAGACTGGGGTGTGTTCTAGTTAGCGAGACGAGTCATGAATGGGGCTACAGGACGGAAGGGTTCCGTAGTCTGGTATTGATTTAGAATTCAAGATTCATACGGCAGTGATCGCTTGGGTGACAGGAGGAGTGAGATATCTAATGGGAGAGTGTTGATGAAGAGACTACTTTCTACGATCGATAGAGTAGGACAAAAGTACCAATGCACACTATATTATCTCTTAAGTATGTACGTATTATTAAGACTCAATAATCTGATAATACTGGCTGCGAACTCGAAATCAAGCAGCTTACTTTTTGAGTTTTTTAACTTCGTGTCACCCACTTGATGACGTACAACATCATGATAGGTCTCATAGATGCAATTGCATATCACGCTGTGGTTTTTCGTGGTTCCAAATACAAGGTGGACTGACTGATGGGTAATCCGTCGAGCTGCATGGATCAGCATTTGTAATCCTGACCGAGTGCTACGTATAACGCATGAGAACCACCGCTGCTAGATTCCAGATCGAAATATTGGTGGCAAAATAAAAAAAAGGTAAGCATAATGTAAGGCTTCAATAGCCTCAAGAAATAAGACAAGATTTTGATTTGGAATTATTGTCTTTGATGCAGTTGAGGTTCGCCACCCCGTGACAGCCGGCCGGCGGCATCTGGTAGGGAATCACACACGCTTAATGAGTCTTGAATAAACTAAAACTAAGATTCGATTCACTCTTACAAAATCTATGTAATCCGTCTATTCTCCAGTATTCTATTATATTCTATCACATCCATTGATAAAAAAGGAAATGCGGTGTTTGAGCTTTCTTTTGTATTTACTCGACACAGAATCATGCAACTCGTTAAAAGCCTCTATATGTAGAGTAATCCATGGATTCTTCAAGCTGGCTAGTTGCCTCAAAATGAGCTGGAAGTGTCCCTTGGTTTATGAGACGATTTAATATCTCAGAATCAATGCCGAGCCCCTTCATATCGCTGAGCCGCAACAATTGCTGCAGCATCGAGTCGTCTATGGCTCTTGGCTTGGAATACTGCCACGATAAAGGGGCATTGTAAGGCATGAAAAGAACCTGGGAGTCTTGTTCACAAGCCGTCTGCGATGTGGTGGGCTCAAACTCGGCACTGGGTCCAAATGGCCCATCACTGACCACTACCTTGTTCAACTGAGCCTGTGGGCTTCGGCTGCTTTCTTCATCGTAGCAAGGTTGGAACGTTGACGTCTCCCACGCGTAAGAGAAATCATCGAGCTGTGACGAGGGGTAAAATTGATAATTTCCCAGTTCGGGACTCTCCGCGAGGGCGCACTGGTTGCTGGCAGTTCCAATATCCTCTGGGGTGTAGGCCCTCTGTAGAGAGCCGTTCTGGGCCTCAGGGCCTGGAACGCATAACTCGTGGTCCAGATCAGAGTGGTATTCAGGGGAGTTGGCCTTTGTACTGCAGCCACTAAACCCGTCACTACTCTTGTTGGAGCCGTCCTCAGCCTCCAAAGTCGCCTGTTGCTTCCTCAGGATACTTGCAAGTTGCTCCATGCCCTCCATGTCCTCAGGGAACACAGACTGGACGGGAAGATCTATGTCTCCATTGGAACGAATACAGGCCAGCTTCTGGGCAATATTGTGAATGATGGCTTGCCCACGGTCATTGCAACGAGGTTCCCCAAGATGCCACTCGTCATGATTACGAACCATTTCGTAAAGCTTGCGGATCGTCGCGACAAGAACCAATTGAGTGTTCTCCAGTACCTCGGCGTATCTATTCAATGCCGTTAGTAAATAATGATCGACTCAGTGCAGCACCGTAAGTAGATTGTAATGTGGACTCAAGACATACCCGCTTGGTAGCTGCTTATAACCAGGTCTCTTTCTCACACTCGCAGTGCAGATTAAACCGTCATCGTTGCAACGCTGGCAAGGAAATTCACCATCGCACTAATGATGTTCACAATTAGTCGACTATATATGGGAAATCAGACTCGACATTAATGAAATAATTCATACTTTGGTCTTCTTCATGCGACATCGCTCGCAAGCCTTCCAGACTCGTTTCCCTCGACGGCCAGCGCCGCCGTGGGCATGAACGAGGTGGTCATTGTAGGACATGGTAGATTCAACATGAGGGCTAATCCGCTTTGTAACTCTTTTCGAGGATGATGCCTTGGATCGTGTGGATGCGGATCGTGTAGATGAGGGAGAGCTCTTCCTGAATCCCGAGGGCTTCGAGTCCCACGTTGAGACCATCGGCAATTGAGTATTTGCTGACGACATGATACTCAAGGTTGTGTTCTTGTGTTGAAATCTATAAAAGCATATATTCATATAGGGTGTGGGAGTTTGTTCTTATTAGTTAAGATTGAGAGTGGTGATGTGTTGAAGTAGACCAAAGCTGATCAGGCTCTGCAGTAGCCACGTCCAAAATTGAGGGGAGTGAGATGCTTATATGTAGGGGAAGAGAGATGCCTTTCATATTCTCGCCCGACGAAGATCATGAGAGATAATCGCGAGTATCTCACCGTTTCTGGGGGACGCGTTGCCCTGTGGTGAGAATTGACTCAAATTAGATGCCGGTGCCGGTCCAAAGGCCTCTCGGAGGCGATTCGGCTTGACAGATGGCACTGTCAGCGCGTGTAACAGAAGACAAAGCCAATGTACTCCTGGGGAAAACGTCACTACCACCGACGCCCAGTGGGACCAACGGCATATTTTTTCCGTGCATTATCTGTTTTTTTGCTGCACGCTGATTGATCTACATCAGACCTGGATGCATGGAAGCCGCCATGGAAGAACAAAGCAGAGCAGGGGCATGGCACACGAATGCCATGATGCCCTCCTTGCGACATATTGAAACCACTCAGTTACCACCACCCTATAATTGTGTAACGCAATTCTGTTCATTATCTGCCCATTAACTATGTAATTCTTTAGGGCCTTGCTATTACTACAATCATGGAAAGCTCATTTCCCTAAGTTCTGCTGCCGTGTAGATAGGGGCTGGAGCTCGGGATCGTTAACAGCCGTTATGACCAAGGAATGGCTGGCGCAATCCTCCAGTGAATGGAAAACCTTGGCTTGGATCCCTCATCGGAATGTGGTGTTGAGAGACGACCATCCGGAAATCTGTCGGTCGGCTTCGCTGTTCGCGGTTTCGCGTGTAAAAGATCCATGACAGGGATCTTCTGCCGTGGAAGCTTCCATGCTTAATCGACCAGTGTCGATCTCTCGGGGCCCACGGCATCTTCATCTGGATTGCTGAGAATGCCATTCGTCTGGGATGGCGAAACTCAAATCCAAATCTCTCCATCTCATTTATGGATTCATCTTCTGCCCTGCGAAGGGAACCCTTCCCTGCCTGGGTGCGTCACTTCGGTCTGCTTACCAGCCATTACGCTCACTCATGTTGGCTCTCCTGCAGCCACAGCGCTGCCTGGGCTCTTCTCGTGTTTCCTTGCTCAGCAGGCAGTCCTGGTTGGCGGACGGGTCATAAGCGAGCACTTGACCCAACAGGGGGACCTGGGAGAACCCGGCTCGCTTCAAAAAGCCCCATCAACTTCAGAGAGTCGGAATCCGAGCACACCAGAATGTAGTCTCTTCATTCGTCAGATTCCGCTTTGCAGCCCCTGTGGTTTTGCACATGGGCGACCATGACGCCATACAGCAGCAAGTTTGGTGTCCGTCCCCGCCACATTCATTTCGAGCTCGGATCCGACAACGCGAGTTTATCGCCAGCCCCGAATGTGGAAAACCGTCATATTCCCGGTGATGGAGATGCCGTCAAGGCCCGTTGCCGGTTTCCGGCCGTTAATACGGGTGAACAAGCTTGGTTTTCGCCCGCCCGAATGGTTCGAGGATCTTATTCAACGAATGAAACACAGCCAATTAATAAATCTGAGATGGCTTCGGATCACTTGCGATGTTACTCGGCGCGAGGATCTTAATGGACGAATGAGATGCACCAGATTATTAAGTCTGTGATTGGTGAATCATTGTGAAGCTGCACCACTTGCCCATTTTTTCCAGCTTTCATTCCTCAAGCCACGACGCAAGCATCTACATGTGTACACCACACGAGCCTTCGCCCCAGTAGTATTTTGTTTTTACACTCGCCGCTTGAGCTTCTAGCTGATCCAGAGCTTAACTCAAACCCCACGGTTGCTTCAATGGCTACCAGCATTTACATCCCCTGGTTCAATTCGCCTTTCTTCCTCGCTCACGAGGGCCGACACAGTTAACAAATGGCTGAGGATTTATTTAATACAAGCATTCAATATTCAGACATGCTCCAATTTGTCCAACTGTAGATGGAAAGTGATTGAGCAAAAAATATCATAAGATTCTTCCCAAGGTACTTGGGCTGCTACAAGGTATCAAAACTGGTCTAATCCATTCAAGTTCCAATCAAGTTGTGGCAGGTGGTTAAAATAGCCTCATATTTCACTAAAATATACCTATTGAAGTAATTAATCTGCTATGTCATTCAACACCCCGTGCGACAACATGGATAGACAGGGTAATTGATGTTGTGAACGAGGTATTTGTTGCTTTTGCTTTGTACAGGGTAGGAGTCTAGCGAGATGGAAAAGCTGAGTAACTCTCTAAGATTGAAGCCTACCTGGTTGTACGAAAGAATTAGGTATTTTAAGACATGGAAGTTGCTAATGTTTAAAAAAATAGTTTCCAAGCCTGTTTTTTTGATCCAAATGATTTTTCTAAATTTTGCCAATTTAGATCTTTGAAGTTCCAGGTGATCGGTAAGCCTGAGAGTGACATTATTAAGAGACATTGGCTGAGAATGGCATTACTAAAGGGTTGCTAAGGCCTGACGGACGCTTCCGAACTTAAGCCGAGTGGCAGCCATGAGCAACCAGAATAGAAGATTCTACTCATATAATCAGCTTTGTAAGATTCCTTGATTATCTGAGTATAATAATGGCCTCTCTGCAGGTCCTAAAATTATCTACTAGGACATACTTTGGCCAGCCAGTTCACAGGTGAGCGATGAGCTTCCCCAGACTTGCCTCTGTACTTCCCCTGATCCAGCCGACACCAGTCAACACTGAGAAACTGTTTCAACACTTTGTGTTCGCTTCCTTCCTTTCTTCGACTCTTTGACAAACGAAAGAATCCATATTCTCAAGATATTCTGAGAGCAGATCTTGATCTGTGTCTTTCTTCAACTTTACCAAGTACAATCGATGAACTCGTCCGACGCGAAACATTCTCCGAGCTCGTGCCTACATCCGAGCACAACATCACATCCTCCTCGAATCCTTGAACTTGTTTTTCGCTAAAAGATTAAGTCACAGAAAGTCATTCGATGTCATCTCAACGATCTCGATCTACTGTTTTGCAAACGACAGTCGACTCGAGTGAGTGCTGGCCACTCCCAGAACCGCATCGATCTACCGATCCGAAAGAACATGACGAACTCAAAAAGCATACACGAGAAAAGAACTGTGATTGATTTGCAGACTGCTGTTTCACTCAGCATAATCCTGTTCTTAGGTACCCAAATCGCGTACCAAAAGTTCCACACCATGCGGAGAGCAACGCTTTACCGACCCAACCTCCCCCATCGAACCGATACCAAACAAACAGGATAGCCACACAAGAGTTTTGGCCCATATTCTTCTACAATTACATATTCTTCTGCATCTAGTACTTCTAGTTGTAATACAGGGCTCAGAAATGGTCGCGGAGTGTCCAAGTTGAAGTACATAACGAGTTTGGAAAGAGTTCGCGTACTCTTCCGGGGAGAGGGACAGAAAAGGCCTCACCATCCTCGCATGAGACCATTCCCCTATCTTGAGTTCCCGCACACATAATGAGGAGATTCCAATAGTGTATACTTCCCTAGGTATCTTCTGTTACTCAGTTAGCCCCTTTTCGTAGTCACAATACGGTATGAGACCAGTACACCGTAAAACACGTACGGCGAGAAGGAGTGAGCTCAATTTTACGGCAGCAAGGTTTGTGCAGAGCTACTAATGCAACCTCGTCACGCGGCAAATGATCTTCTCTTTGTTTGGTCGCACCTGACCAATCCCAAACATGCGGTAATAGATACGAGGTTCCGCATTTGGTCCCATCTCGTCAATATGTTTCTCGTCGTAGCAACTACGCCGCTTGAATGCTACAGCCAGGAGGTAGTAGGTATAGTTATCAGCAAAATTTGTAGCTTCCATAAGATTCCATCTTGAGGTTACATGACCTTAAATTTGCCACCAGGGAGCAGACACCTATCAATAATGACGAGAGGCTCGCTCACTCAGATCAGGTAAGCCTTTGTCACCGCCACCTGAGTGTTCTCACTAGCGCTTTTTAGTTGATAGGAGGGCATAGGTGTTGTGGGCCTATGATTTGGAATTCGGGAGGAGAAAGCAGGGAATCAGAAAGGGAACATCATACCATACCCCCTTCTTGTGCATAAATTAGGGACTGTTCTCTCAACCTCATTCTAGCCAGGTCTCCACCCTACCAGGCTATACAATGCACCGTCGTCAACCAGCTTTCACACCCCCCTCCTACATAGATTAATGGGGAGGGCGGCCGCTGTCCGCTCGGCAGTCGCTCAGAGCGGACTTGACTTCCAAGTGCGGAGTGAGTGCCCTCCACTTTTCATCAGCTTGCCATCGTCTCACGCCCGCTGCCTAGTATCTCATATTGAGGGAACACCGCTATGTAGAGCCTGCAGAATGGAGAGATCCGCCGCTCCAAACGGAGGATACATGGCACACCGTATATACACACGCATATTGAATAGCCTAATTATGAATTGATTAAGATTAAGGCTATCATATAGGGCAATTCAATCCAGGCCTGAACCCAAACCCAGTAGCATTCTCAGGCTGGATCCAAACTTAGTACTTGGCCCCCTGGTAGCTCACCACTAAGATTTACTGCGGGGGTACATAGGCTGCGATTTGTGCCGTCAGGAACTTTGGGGCAGCTCCAATGGCATCATCTGCATAGAAAAAGTGAGATGGCACAGGGATCATGATTCCAAGACAGACTGCATCAGCATATTCGCAAAACACTGCCGTCCTCTCTGGAGGATAGTTTGGAATCTGGGCCTTGTTCTCCAAATTCTTGGTGTACCCAAATAGAGTAACCCCCACAATATTGTTCCTGACAACCTCGTTGAGCTCGGAGATTGCATTCCAGATAACGGCTGTTCCCTGGCTACAACAAGTTAGACGATTATCGTGTATCTCTTAATGCCCTAGGGAGACTCTACCTATAGCCGCCTGCAACGACTGGGGTCTTTGGACACTTGATATTGGCTAGTTGAAAGAGCCTCTTGCCCTCATCAATAGACTGGCGGTTTGTCCCGTTCGGAAGGTAGTTGGGGGAGATCAGTGCTGTATATGCACCGCCAACGCCCTGAATCCAGATATTGTTATATTGGGCTTGCAGTGTTGCAGCAAGGGCAGGACCAGCCACAAGACCCTATGAAACATGAATATGAGTACGATCCGTTATTGCCTAAGAGAAGGTTGAGTCATACCATGTTGCCCGGCTCAGTAGAGCCACGAGCAAAGATGAGAATAGCCTCTGGGCATTGAGAGGCAGGCCCGGCTTCAAGATCATTTTGATCGAGAAAGCTCCGTTTCTCGAGATGTGAAACCTCTTCTGAAACTTCAACGTTTGCTGTTGGGAGCGCATTGGTCTGCACAACGGCGAGCGCAAAGAGGATAGAGAGGAACTTCATGGCAGGCTCGAGGTCAAGTTGTGATAACTTAAGGGTCAAGTATTTGAATTGTATTGGGACTGATGCAGAATCGATTATTCGGAGAGGCTTTGAGATTATTTATACACAAGTTCTCACGTATTTATTATCTCGGGATATCATATCCGTTGCTTACGGCAAGAAGAAAAGCATCAATACATAAGTTCTCAACTCAAAGAGAAACGTCAATGCCGGAAGGATTTGGATCTCCAACTTTGCCTTTGTTTGCTCCTAGAAACACTAAGTTCAATATATCTCTGACGATTCTAGTCGGGTTCCGATCCTCTTTCTGATAGCAATCACGCGGTCAGCACCGATCCACGAGCGCAGATCCAAGCGAAGGCTCTCAAAGTCGCAAGATAATACGAGCAGGAGGCCACTTGGGTGTATTTCATTGAAAACATGGCCCCGCTTCCAACCTCTATGGACCGCGAGTGCAAGGTCTAGAGCATAAGCAGTGTCCAGTAGGCCATGTAGTTACAAGCCACTCATCTTTTGAGCATATTTTCGGTATGCTACATGGCGATCCATGAAAAAGTGCCGAGCTTGGACTCTTGATTGCCTACCCGACGACGTGAGTTGATACCATTAGAATAATGCACTGACATGTATACGAAAGACCACCAGAGGGTCATCATCACGTGTCTCCGATAGCAGCTAGTACAACGCATGAGGGGAAAGGTTTCCTTGCACAAAAGATCTGCTGCTATTCAACACAATAGCCCTGCATTCAACGAGATTGTCGGGGGGGGGGGACTATTACCCAAGCAACGGATATCAATGCAACTTCCTCCCAAAGGGTGATTCTTTCGTTTGCTCGATGCTCTATCGAACCTTAAAGTTGATAAGGCATGATCGGCCCGAAGATTCATGCATTGTTTAGAGTTATCGGCTGCATGGGCCGTCCCTTGGCGAAGTGGATGTTCCGGGTATCAAATATTGTGTGTGCCACAGGTTTTCAGCTCGCCACTGCCGGTTAACTGCCACCATCAGTCTTCGCACTGCATGGCCCCCCAACAAATCAGACGCAGAAAAGTGCCTCGGGGTAACTGATCTAGTGCCCCTATCGACAATATGATGGGCAGATATTTCCATGTGATTGCTGACGGAGAGGGAACAACCGATGGTGTGTGGCATTCCTTCCGAATGCTGTAGTATGGAACAACCCCATTTCTCAAAGGAGAAAATCTTGGGCATGATCTGAAAGATTTTACATCCCGCTATTATCATGTCTTGATCCTTCATTGTCGGCATAGAAAGAGAGGAAACCAGATTGGCGAAGTAACTCTACGTAGATTAAGCAATCAAACACGTGGGTTATATCCATTTGAACTCTCGAAGATAGCTGAGAAGCCCTGCCTATCTTTCCCGTTATATCTTTGGCTTTGGTGTCTCTCGGCCCGTTTTAATATCTGCAGCGAGTTTGAAGTCGCGGAGCACAATGTCCGGATATTTCATGCCACCACCACCGCCCACGAGCTCTGGCATTCGCCAAGCTCCCCCGTCTACGACGAGAACATGCCCATTGACATAATTGCCCGTTTCTGCAAATAGATATACTGTTGCATCGGAAATCTCTCGGACGAGCCCATACCTGCCAAGCGGAACCCCACTGCCTGCTTCGCCGGTATCGCGCGTCGCCTTGCTTGACAAACGCTCTAGTCCTTCAGTGTTGCCGATACCTCCAGGACTGATCACATTAGAGTTAATGCCCCTAGGGCCATATTCTAGTGCAATAGATGCCGAGAGTGCATCTACTCCAGCTTTTGCGGAGGAAACATGTGCTTGAAATGGCATTCCGGCGTAGTGAAAAGTTGTCGACATGAAGACGATTCTTCCGCCAGTTGCGGAGGACGGGTTTGGGTTTTTCGAGGTTGATTCAACTAGATAATCCGCGGTAGCCTTGAAGGTGTTGAATGAGCCTACAAGGTCGATGTTTACGACTGTTTGGAAAGCATTTGAGGAGAGGCCACTGATGGGAGCCAGGAAGTTGCCCGCAGCACCTGCACTAATCCCATCAGTAGCAATACATAGTCCCAATTGTAGAAGGAGTATTGTAGAAAATACATGACGTAGTCGATCCCTCCGAGCTCGTCTACACAACGGTCGACGGCCTTCTCAAGGCTTTGCAGGTTTCTGACATCCACGCCGCCGATTCCAAGGACCTTGGACCCAGGACACGCCGTTTCTATCTCGACTGCCATCTGCTGGGTCTTTTCAATATTCCTCCCGACTATGCAGGCATTTGCACCTAAATGGACAAGAGCACGAACTTGAGCAGATCCGATTGTGCCTGCACCACCAGTGCAAAAGACCACCCTGTCATCTGTGGGTGAGACGCTTGAGAAGGGCTCGACTGGCATTCGGGAGCCTAGAAGACGGAGACTTACCAAAAATCCCATCTCTCCAAACAGAGGAGACATAATCTTGCTTTGAAATATTCATATTTCTGAAAGATGGTTCTATTGCCTTGGAATAGTTTGGTAGTTTGATCAAGCTAGCTATGCAATGTTCGTACATGTACTATCAAATCATCGAATGGGTGGATTGACCATCCTCACACATGTGCCAATCCTTTATTCTTATGCTATCACATGCGCATAATCGACAGTCCTAAGCCGCGGTCTGTGTAACCTGCTCACATGTTTGCTTGACCAAGTTCCGATTGGATGTGAAGGTAGTCGGCTTAGCCGGCCACACACACCATCAGCTGGATTGACGGTGGCACGTGTAGGGCCCTTTTGTCTTGCAGGCGGTTTCAAACCAGCTGATCTCGGGAGTACGCGAGCTGAAAGACCATGCTATTCTCTTTGTTGAGAACACGTATGGCCACCTGACCTTAAGCATAACACCGGGATGAGAATACGCATGTGTTGTTACAGTTTGTAAACTTGGGCAAACACTTCACATGTAAGAATCAGAAATAGTCATTGTTGTTAAATGAATGATAACACCTATTGTATGATAATCTGCGGGACCTCGGAAAACAACTGATCTTCTAAGGTAGCCTTATAGGTAAAGTGGTAAAGAATGATAGGGGACCTCGGAAAGAGTGTATCGAGGATAAAGAAGAAAGTTTGGGAAGATGATTAGACCCAGAGGAATGGAGCAACTAGAAAATTAAGATAATAAGAAAGACATGATCCCCACCACTATGGCATCTTGGTGGTCAAAACCTCTTCGTGCGTGTACTTCTTCACGCCTGAATCGTCCTCCTTCTCAGCCTCGCCGAATCTCTCCTTCAAACCATCAACCGCCTTCTGGCCCAAAGCTTTCAGGCTGCCCACTCCAAGCATCTCGAGTACGCTTATATCCCTACCAAACGATGATTTCCACCAGCTCCTCATCTCAACTGCCACGAGACTGTCAAAGCCAATCTCTTGCAGAGTGCTGTTGACATCAATTTCAGTGTCGTCGTCTACAGGCTTCATCAGAAGCATCATGAGCTGCTTGGCAATCTGTATAGCCACGAAATCAACAGTGGTAACTTCTGAGAGAACCCCAGGGTTGCCAATTACTTGCGACAGGAACAAGGAGAGCTCGCTCGACGCTGCGGACGAGCTTGACCCTGCAGCACCAGAGGCACTATTAAGATAAACACCCACGCGACGGTCACCCTTCCAAGGAACACGATTGGACGCATCAGTCATCGGTGTGGTGCTGCGCATGCCGACGAGTAGCTCACTCTTGCTAACAAACGGCTTATTCGACAGGCGCTCGCGGGGAGCCAGACGAGGTGCGACGATAACGGCCGTGATTGCATCAAGCATCTCGGCGATTCGGATGCCGTAGATACCCTGAGACAAAAGACGCTCGCGGACAATGGGGTTGTCAGCGACGTAGCCATGGTCAAGCATGACACCAATGTTCACGGCTGAAGCATTCAGCCCGAGGCTCTGGCGGTATTGCACGAAACTATCGAGGAAGGTATTGGCACCGGCGTAATTGGCCTGGCCGCGTTGACCCACGATTCCAGAGATGGAACTGAAGAGCACGAAGAAGTCGAGGTCAAGCTTACGAGATACAGTTGCATTGTGTAAGTTCCAAGTCCCGAGAACTTTAGGCTCAACACAATCAACCCAGTCTTCGTAAGACATATTTGCGAAACTCTGATCACGCAGGACCATAGAGACATTGAGTATTCCCTTGAGGAAGCTGCCGGCCGTCGCCACGGCACGCTCCACGTCGGCAATCCGGCTAACACTGCCTTTGATCGCGGAAGCAGTGCAGCCTTGGCTGCGCAGCTCCTCCAGGAAGGCTTGGTCTTCGGCTGTTTCGCCTCCACTGCGTGAGAGGAAGACTAAATGGCGAGCTCCATGCTCGATGAGCCAGTTGGAGACAGCACGGCCCAAACCGCCAAGACCGCCGACCAGCAAGAAAGAGTGGTAAGGCTGCAGCTCAATCTTACGAGCTGATTGACTTGTTGCCAACGATTTCCCTTCTGGAAGGTCCAGCGTGATGATGATCTTGCCAATGTGCTGACCCTTTTGCATATAACGGAAGCAGTCCTCAATTTCGTTTGCTGTGTAAGTCTTGACGGGACGGATAGGTTTAATGTGGCCATCTTCAAAGTATTTGGCAACTCTCTTGAGTAAACTTGAGAACAGTAATTAGTTTCTCCGCATTTTACTATTAGTCTGGCACTTGGCAGTGGACTTACTTGTTACCAATATCCATTCTAAGCTCCATGATGTGCCCAAGGTCGATGCCGTGGTAGCTTCTGTTGAGCTCGAACACGTTCAGCGCCAACTTTCCATTACCGACGAGGTCACGTTTACCTATTTCGATCAGCTTTCCAAACTCTGCCACGCAATCCCAAGACGTGTGCAGCAGTTCACCAGATAGAGAGTTGAGAACAATATCAACTCCGCGGCCGTTTGTTGCTGCCATGACATCGGCAAGGAAAGACTTGTCACGCGAATTGAAAATGCGGTCTCTCGGCATGTCAAATGTAGACATGAGATACTGGACCTTCTCGTCATTTCCTACAGTGCAATAGATCTCAGCACCGATCATCTTGGCTATTTGGATTGCCGCAAGCCCGACACCACCGCAAGCAGAGTGGATGAGAACCGTCTGCCCGGCTTGAAGACCGCCCTGGTCAAGAAGTCCGTGGATGACAGTGGCGAAGACGCAAGGCATGGTAGCGGCATCTTCAAAACCGAGGGAATCAGGGATCTTGGCAAAGACTTTCTGAGGTAGGATCAAGTGAGTCGAGAAACAGCCTTCTCCGAATGCGAAAACTCTGTCGCCTGGCTTCAGATCATGGGCATTCGGACCGACTTTTCTGACAATGCCACATGCTTCGATCCCAAGGGTGGTCTTAACTCGAGCGTCGACAATGCCCATGGCAATCAGCACGTCCTGTTCGTTATTGAGTTAGCAAGCATCGTATATCGTGAGTGTTTTACCCGTGAAGTCGGTGCACAAACCTTGAAATTCATCCCGAAAGCCCTCGTTTCAACCAAAATCTCATCATCGATCAACTCTCTCACGGGGATCGCGGTCCACGCCAGAGTGTTGAGCCGTCCAAACTTGCCGATTCTCAGGTCGTGGCCTACCTCCGGCCGATTGTCTGAATCTGACTCACGCAGTTCCTCGTTTACTGACACAGGGAACAGTCTAGGAATCTGTATCACGCCCTCGATGATGGCGTATTCAAATTCGGGGAGCAGAAGCTCTTCTGAGCGACGGTGATTGAACTTCTTGAACACCTTGACCGCGGCAGACAAATTCTCCGCATTGACCTGATCAAGCTCACAAGTAGCCATCTCAGCATTCATCTCACCGCGAATTGTTCTCATGGCACCGATGACTTGTCCCCAGCGAGGGTCCTGAGAATTGAATTGGGAAGACCGTGTTAGCCAGAGCAGACCAACTTCCAGCGCAGCAATCTCTGATAGAAACTCTTGAAGGGCGACAAAAGAGCTCTTGCTGATGTTCTCAAAGAACGGTTTGTAAAGGTCTACCACAGCAATCACGTCTTTGCCCTTGGGCAGTGGTCCTGTAGCCCAAAGATGTAGATCGATGTCATAGCCTTCAGACTGAAGCTGTTTCGAGAAGTTTTTGGCAAGCTCCATTGTCCCGTAATCATAAACAAGAGTGGCACCGTGGTGTCGTGGAGCTTCGACGGCCGGCTTGGCTGTCATTACGGCCATGAGGTGATTTGGTCGGGGACAATCGAGAGCCACATGCTCCAGGCCATCGAAACCAGCTTCGATCAGGTGGTTGTGCCATCTCTCGGGAGAAACATAAGGTTCGTCGATGCGATTATCATCTACACCGAGCCACCAGCCAGCGAAAACTCCCATGACAAAGTTGATGGCCTTCACGTCAGAGCACAGCTCTTCCATATATAGCCGGCCTTCTGGATGAAGTAGTTTGCACACATTGCTGAGAGTTTGTTTGAGGCTAGGAGTAGCATGGAGGATATTTGCGGCGACGATGAGGTCATACGAGCCTGCAACAAACCCTTGCTCGATCGGGTCTTTGGTGACATCTAATGCCTGGAAGTCCATGTTGGGGTAGGCTGCAAAACGTTCTTTGGCAGGTCCAAAGAATGCTGGCGAGATATCTGTGTATGTATATCTGGAATACATAAGAGAACCGTTCTCAGAGTTCGTAAGATTCTGAAGAAGGGTATTGGTAGTGCCACCAGTACCGGCGCCGACCTCGAGAATCCGTAACTGGGGCTTTGAATGCCCAAGTGTCTGGAATAGTTCCTTGCGGTCACAGCGATCCAGATAATTGTAGATGTTGGCCAGCGTGTTGTCTGGCATCAAGATAGCAACAGGATCAACTTCACCCTTGAACATAGGGACAATATTTTCAAGGATTGCTCTAAAGGCCACAACGAGAGGATCCATGGTTGTTGCTGAGAGAATTCCTTCAAGGCCTTCCCTAGAACTATCAGGTTTCGGCTGTGGCTGCTTCTTCATCCATTCCAAGAACTGCTGGAAATGGGGAATGTCTGTCGAAATACCCTCAAGCTTGGCAAGTGCCTCTTGGACAACGACACGGTGCAGTTCTTCGCAGAGCTGCAAGTATTGCTGTTGCTCATTATGAGGGGTGATCAAAGAGTCAAAGTTGACAAAGTCCATATCCGGTCTCCAGAACGCTCTGGCACCAGCATGAGGATCAGGGTTCTCAAATGCTTCAGCCCCCTCAATGGGACTGAGTTTCACACCAGTCATCTTCATTGCCATCTTGCCATCAGTTCCGAAGCCCTCTCCCTCACCACAAAGAAGGCCGCGTCGAGTCTGGATTGCTTTGATAGCCATGTCGATCTCTAAATCACATTTGTATACTTCAATATTGTGGATGTATGTAGGAACATTCATCCTATTGAGTTTGTGTGTGAGGCCGTTGGTGGCTGCCACACTGAACAACTGAAGGAAGAAGTCGAACTTTGTGGGATGCACGCAGTAGGATGACTCTCCATCATCCTTAACAGTATGTATGCCTCTTCCTTTAGATAAATTCTGAGTTGTGGCGCAGGATAAATTAGACAAGCCTTGGAAGTCGTCTCCATAGTTTGCTCCAACTGTACGAAGAGCCTGGTACCATTTATTGGTTTCCACATGTCGAGACAGCTTGGTAGCGTCTTCTGCTCGCTCAACAGTTGATAATTCTGTCAATGCGGAAATCTGGGCAGTGCAGTGTTTCATCCACGTTGTTCCGTTGTAGGAGCTTACAACAAAGTCCCACCACACGCTGTCGAGACTGTCCGTGAGCGCTGCCCGACGTACGCTGGTGATGATCTCGGTTGACTTGGAGTCTGTAAGAACCATAGCTGTGTCGATCACCACGTTACGGAGAGCAAAGCCCTCGAAGTTGCCCTCGCAAAGCTGTCGTGCTGCTTCTCCAGCCATGCCCACGTATGCGGCACAGGGGAATACTACGTCTCCTTTGATATTGTGGTCCACAATCCACGGAACAGTTGCCAGTGAGATGACATTTCGGAAGACGGGCTCATTCTCCGTGCTCTCGATGACACGGACACCCAGCAGCTCGTGGTGACGGAATTTGCGCCAACGCCACTCCTTTGCCACGCGATTTTCGAACATGTACGAGTTTTCATGATTCCAAGGGTAAGTGGGCAGATCAGGAACAACCCTGGCGGTCTTATTTGGGTTGGTTAGCTGGTCAAAATCGATATCAACGTTTTGGATCCAGAGCTGGCCAACCGCCGAGAGGAATGTTTCGCTCGCATTCTTGTTGCGGATGATGCATGACGTGTATGGGTAATTGGCTGAGAATTTGGCCAAGATTTGACGAATTGGGCCGCCCAATGCCGAATGGGGACCTATCTCCAAGAACATTAGGTTCGCCTTGGTGGTTGCACCGTGATATGAGACAAGATTCGACAGGCCAGTGTTGAACAGCACGGGTGACTCAAGGTTTGACTGCCAGTACCTTGAATCTAGCTGATCAGTATTGGTAAGTTGTTTCCCAGAAACGGTGGAGAAGAAAACTGCCTTCTTCTTGGGGGTGCTGTGATCTTTGCCGTTGGGGATGTCACGGAGATGATGAGATGTCAATGTATGATATCTCTCACCAACCTCTTTCATATGATGGGAGTGATAGGCTGTGCGGACCTTCAGTTTTCGAGCCAGCACGTCTGGATTCTTTGCACGAATTGCTTCCAGGACTTGCTCCAGCGGTTCCGTATCACCCGAGATCGTAACGCTCGAGGGCGAATTCTCACAGGCGATAACAACGCCAGGGATCAGGAAAGGCTCAGTTTCTTGCCTTCCCATGCCGATAGCAGCCATGGCTCCAGCCTTCTTTACCTCTGAAGATACAACGCCGCGGTAATAGGCTGCCACGATGGCCTCAGAGGCGGTAAGATATCCAGCGGCGTATGAGGCTGCCATCTCACCAGAAGAATGTCCAACAACACCGTAAGGCACAATGCCAATCTCGCTTAAGGCATCAACAAGCGCAACCTGTAGCGCGGTGCACAGAGGTTGGGAGAAGGAGGCAGTATTCACGTTGCTTGTTTCAGCAGGCTTAGAGAGCTCTTCGACGAGCGACCAGGAAGGACGGTCGGGTAGACTTTGGAGTACCTGCTCCATGGTTTCAACTGATTTTCTGAAGGCAGGGTTCGACTCCAAAAGCTCAAGGCCCATCTGTGCCCATTGAGCACTCTGTCCAGTAAACACCATGACAACGTCAGCTGATGAGGAGGGAGCCTTGGTGAAGGGCGCTGTGTTTGGTGCTACCCCTTTACCCGCGACTGAGAAAGATCGATGTGGCAGATGGGTACGCCTTGAGCTAAGTGTGTAGGCAATATCTTGTGTCGCTGATGGATGTTCTTCAAGGTATTTTTGACTCTGCACAACTTGTCGCCTCAATGAATCGGCTGTATTGGCGGAATACAGCATAAGCTGTGGGTGGTCTGGTAATTCTTCATGCTCAGATGGTGAGTTAACGGTGCCCAGGTAAGCCTTGGCCGACTCAATGACTACATGAGCATTCGCACCGCCAATGCCAAAAGAGTTGACAGAGGCACGCTTGTCCCTGTCCTCTGGCCATGGAGTAGGTTCAAGGGGAACCTTGAGCTTCTTCTCCTCAAACGGGATTCTGGGGTTGGGCTTATCAAATTTGATATTGGGAGGGATCGTCTCTTTCTCCAATGCCAAGACTGCTTTTATCAAGGAGGTTATGCCAGATGCTCCCTCAGAATGGCCGACGTTGGGCTTGACGGAGCCAATGTAGACACCACTGTCACCAAAGACACTGGCAACTGCAGATACTTCAATGGGGTCGCCGGTTGCTGTTCCAGTACCGTGACATTCGACATAGCCGGTCCTTGTGATGTCATCGATACCAGCAATCTTGTAGGCTCTGCGGATCATGGCCTCATGGCACGCTGAGCTTGGGACGCTGAGCCCAAGTGTCTTACCATCAGCGTTGTTTGATGTTCCACGGATGACAGCACGAATTGGGTTGCCATCGCGGAGTGCATGGTCAAGTCGCTTGATATAGATAACATTGAGAGCCTCGCCACGAGCGTATCCGTCGGCATCAGCATCAAATGTACGACTAGAGCCGTTTGGGGATAAGACTCCCTGTTCGGACATGCAAACGGTGAGTCCTGGTGCCATGATGAGGTTGGTGCCAGCCACAAGAGCCGAGTCACATTCGCCATAACGAATCGCCGTACAAGCCTCGTCAAGGCAGATCAAAGCCGATGAGCAACCAGTGCGGATCACCATGCTAGGACCCTTGAGGTCATACTCGTAAGAAATCCGGTTGGCAAGTACGAAGTCACCATATCCGGTGATCTTGTAAGTGCCATTGAACTGGGGGTCCTTGACGAAGAGCTCAAGCCAGTCCTCTCCGAAGGAGCCAACATATGTGCCAATAGTTTTGCCACGATAGTCAACTTCTCCAGCACTCTCAAAGCACTCTCGGGTGAGTTCAAGGAGGATACGCTGTTGTGGGTCTGCACGCTCAACTTCAACCTTGGGCATGCTAAAGAAGCTCGTATCAAGAGCTCCAATGTCTACAGACTCATCAAGGAAGTAGCCATATTCGCTGGCGACATGACCTGGCTTACGAGTCTTGGAGTAAAAGCTAGATGCTTTGTACCTAGTCTCAGGAACAGGTGCTCTGGCATCTCTTTTGTTGATAAGGAAATCCCAGAACGCTTCTGGGGTAGATATGCCGCCTGGGAGGCGAAGTGCCATGCCACAGATGGCGATTGGAATGGCATCATCAGTGTGTCCATTCTCATGGATCATGGGTGATCCCGAGTCCTATTAGGAGTTAGCTTAGCGTTTCAATGAGTTGCGATAGAGACATACCGAGGAAGTTGAAGGGGTTGAGCCCAGGTATGGAGCCATGATTCTGTGAGTCTGGCAAGTAAAGGTATAGTTGTAACGAAGATAATAAAGAAAAAGATTACAAAAAAAAGAGCCTATGGGAATTCTCAAAGTGTAAAGTTTGGAAGTTTATGAGTTTGGTTCAAATCTCTAGAGAAGAAGAAGCAAGTTTTTCGAGGGGATCTTGCTGGTAGTTGTATTTGATCTGAATTTTCCCTATCTACTCTCCGATATTCGTCGAAGTCCGCATCATCCTATCATTGTCATACAAGGTTGCATCTATTTTCGCGACATACCTCATATGATGCACGTTCATTCCAACAGATGCGCAGTTGATTGGATATGGTTTCACATTGCGCGATCATCCATGCATCCCCCTCACCTTACATCAGTATGATTCGAAGACTATATTACTATGCATTGAGATAAACAAACCTTCCAAGCGAGTTGGATCTTCCGATCACAGATGGATACTTGTTATCTCCGTCCAAGGAACATCGGCACGGATGGCGAACTAATGCGGAGACAAAGTCTCTCCAGAAACCCAGTTCTCATTGAGTTGAGGCAAAGTAACGATACCGTTGCAACCCAACTTAGTTCTCCACAACCGGAACTTTTCACAACTCTCGCACGATCTCTCAGCATAGAAACCGATAACGTCGTACTCCCTTGGCAAGCACGTACACAACCATCAACGACAGAACGGGCATATGCACGAACCTCGTATCTGTAATGCCACAGTCTAGTCGCGAATCCGGTTTGTTGAGCATAAACACATCTCGCCTCTCGCGTCAATATCGCCTCTTGTGTTGAGAAGTAGACTTCGTTCAAGCGTCTATGTGCTTGATAGTGCATTGATAATGCAGCCAAGGAGGTGTTCTCAGCTGCATGCCGTGCAGTGAAAGAGTTGGTCAGGCTATGTCCCGATTGGTTCAGCTGGGCTAAACATCCGAGCTTGATAAGAACGATCGGCTGAGAACGAGACTCGGTCAGCGAATAGATGCATGAACAAGGGTGTTGGGATCGTCTGAGATCCCCTCCCAGTGAACGATCCATCAGGGTGTACGGCCTGTAGCTGTAGCCGCTCTCCAAACCATACCATTGGCTTCATGCCATTTACCACAGCTTGCAATCAAGCCAGCAAAGCTTGTGCCAAAGTTAGCCCTGGCAGCGGCAGATCGTGTATCAGAAATCGAGGCCACAATGACTATGGCTTACAATTTAGACATGATGGTGACTTTAGCATCTAATAACCAACCTAGAGATCAGAAGCGAGATCGATACAGCCTGAGGTGGGCTCCAGGGTTTGGAAACAAACTCGTTTATTTTTCACCAGGGCTATAATGCGGAGATCTGCATGGCACTCTACATATCTACTATGCTCAAAGGAGAATTATGACGATTTCGAAGACTGATCATGGAACCCCGCACTTCCCACTCTACGCTGATATGATACCACCCAATAATGATCTTGGCAGTTTGGCCTCGCTTCGCGATGAACCATGTACTGC